TCACAAAACAAAATCCATCAACCACCAAGAGAAGATAAACTCACGTGTATAATTTTATTTTTAATTAGACGTGTCGCAATCGCACGTGACTCCTGTTATCTTACTCTAATTACCATAATTAAAAAACTTTGAACAAATATTTTCTTCAACAATATTATATTGTAATGCATCTCTGCTACCAGCTAATATATAATTGGCAATCAATGGTTAGTTGTGCGAGTCAAATTATTCATACAAAAAAAATTATATATATGTTATGAATTCTTAAGTGTGGATGACCACCATTACTACCATCATCAAACACCATTACTCCCACCACTACTCCCACCATTTACTCACCATTATATGCCCATAACTCCTTGTAACTCATGACATTTCATGGTCTTACTTGTACTATAAATAGTGCTCCATTGTATTGAGTTGGATACACAAGAAGAACAAGAGAATAAATATTTGTTTCTCTATATATTACTATATCAATTTATCTTTGCTTTGTTCTTCTTCAATAGTTTTTTTAACACGTTATCAGCACGATTGTTCTATTTCCATTTTCGAGAAGAGACGAATCAAAGAAGATAATTACTTCTCAACCATAGAAGATGAAAAGGGAGTTGTTTTCAAATATTTTATTGTTGTTTTAAATTGATTAAATATTAATCATCTTAATTTTGTTGTAGGTGAATTTTCGTGCAATTCACGAGTCAGTACTTCGATGGCTGTTTTGGACCTGATAATGTCCTAATTTAAGAAAATGCAAAGTACGAAATTTGTAGCATTTTCTATTGGCTGTTCGGAACATTTTGAATCATCAAAATCGGATCTCGATCAAGAGAGATATGCTTAAAATACTCAGACATGCCAGATCTGTCATTTGTGGTCATTTTTCAAGACTTTGAGTCCCGTTTCGGACCTGATATTGACCGAATTTGATAAAATGTAAAATACGAAAGTTGTAGAACTTTCTGTTGGCTGTTCACAGCATGTTGAAGCGTTGAAATTGGATCTCGAATGAGAGAGATACAAGCAAATTACTCAGACATGACAAATTTGTCATTTGTGGACATTTTTCAAGTCCACAAAATATTGAAATGAGAAAATTGATAATTGATCATAATCAATTTATGGCTTGAAGCCTAGATCACATTTTGAGACTATAAGTCTCAATAGAATATGATAGACTCAAAGTTTATGTGATAATAATACTCAAGCCTAGATCACATTTTGAGACTATAAGTCTCAATAGAATATGATAGACTCAAAGTTTATGTGATAATAATACTCAAACTTAAGATTTGAGTTGATATGTATTTCTCATTCATAGTACTTTAAGTCTAAATGATAAGACTCTTGAACAATTGAGTTAGAGGGTATTCCCCATTTATAGTACTATTCGTTCATGATCAATGTACTATAACAATTTTATTATATATTGAGGCACAAATCGAGCACGTACAATCAAGTGACTCGAAGATTTGAGTGGTATATTAAGAAGAAAAAAAAACCACTTGCTCTCTAGTTTATGCAATTTGAAAAGCTCCATCAATCGAAAAAAAAAAACTCGAAGTTCATAAAGTTTAGGCTCAAATTAAAGCCTAGTTTAAATATGAAAGCTTGAAAGCTTATGTGGAGGAACATCAAATATAAAGGCTTGAGGCCTAGAATAAATTTGAAGACTATAAGTCTCAATTGAATACATTAGACTCAAGGTCTAAGTGATGATAATCAATATTGAATATTTGAGTTAATAAGTATTTTCCACTCAAGATACTATTATTTTATGATTAAGTACCAATTATAGGGCTTAAGACCCCAAATCAAGTACATAAATTCAAGGTATAAAACTCAATCCTTGATATTTGAATGGTATATATGTACTCAAAATGAGTATTCATTTGTGATACAATGATATCAAAAATATCATGAAGTTTAAAATTATCTATGATAGTTCAAGAATGAACATAACTATAAAATTTGGATCATTGAAGTTAAAGATCCATTTATGTCTCATGATATCACAAAATGTTTGTGTTATTACTATATGCCTTGAGGACACAAGCCAAATATTTCTTAATGAAAATGTGTCTAGAAGACACCAAGCAAAATATTATTGTTTCATTTTCAAGAAACGAGTACTTAATTGGGGACGTGTCTTGAACACACAAGTAAAAGTAACATTACATCTAGTTACTTATGAAGAAAAAGAGAGATAGATATGTGATCCTCTCTATAATTTGCTCTCTTCAAATCTTGACTTTGTTGTTTTGAAAACGACAAGAAAAATATTTCGATATATGTGTCTTGAAGATACATATAAGGGAGAATTGTAAGAGAAAATATTCTCTAATTTATGGATCTATATTATGATCATGAAGTGACAACATAAAAATTCAAGTTGCACTAGTAATAGCAAAATAAAGATTTTTAATAGCATATCGTACTATAATACGAGTTGTGAGCTAATATTAAACTCGTTCAATTGTTGTTATTCTTTGAAAGTGAAAACAACAATAGAAAAAAAAAATCAAAGAGATATGTTGACATGAAAAGCTATCATGGTGCTCAAAGTTTATTCATTATAAATTTTCTCATCATTACAAGTGGAAGAGAGATGAGAAATATGAAAAATGATTGGTGATATATCCATTTTACGATAAAGCATGTTGATAAGCTTTATCAAGCACCAACACAAAACCAAAAGAAATTGCGTGATTTTGGAGTCACGACATTGACCAATTCAATTAAAGTTGTAAATTTCATTCCAAATACATATGGAGGTATGTATATGATTTTTTTATAATTGGTCTAGATGAGATGAGATGAAATTTCAAACCAAACGAAAAAAAAGGGGATCTGATTTTCTTGTTAAAATTCCAAACCCTCTGCATATTCTGATTTATCAAAATTTAAAGTTTACTCCTCAAACTTTTCAAAATTTTCATTTTAGTCCGCCGGATTCAAAAATTTTACGATTCAATCCAAATATTTTTTTTAGAATATGCAGCTCGTTCCTTTCATCATCTGAAATTATGAATATATTTCAGCATTTCCAGTTTTCACCGAAGTTTTTAAAATTTCAGTCTTGTCCCTGAAGTTTTCAAATTTTGCAGTTTGGTCCCTAAATTTTCAAATTTTACAGTTTGGTCCCTGAATTTTTAAAATTCTGAAATTTGGTCATTTGTGTACCGAACCTGTTAGATTCTCAAATGTAGTTACTCTCATAACAACTATATCACATGGTTTATTTATAATTTATGCTATGCAATATTTTGCACCCCTAATGGGAGATATTTATATGGCATACATTGTCAATTGTCATTTTAATGAGACAATATTCCCGCCGTTAAGGGAGAGATAAAGAATCCGGTTCTTGTATAACGGCGTGAATTATATGAAATGATCTTTGTCTCATCTAAATTTGTGCATGGAAAAATTTAAGCACAAAAGAAAAAAAGAATTCATTTGCAACAATTTTACTGTGCAAAATGCTAGATGCATTTATCGATAAAATAGCAACTTGATATTAT